TTTAGGATGCCTTCTGGACACCTCCTTGGTGAGGTGTTCCGGACATGTCCCACTGGAAGGAGGCCCAGAGGAAGACCCAGGAGACGCTGGAGGGACTATATTTCTTGGCTGGCCTGGGAATGCCTTGGGATTCCCCTGGAAGAGCTGGCCCAAGTGGTTGGGGAGAGGGAAGTCTGGGCCTCCCTACTTAGGCTGCTTCCCCCTCGTCCTGACCCCGGATAAGCGGAAGAAATTGGATGGATGGATGGGAACAATCTCGCCTGTGTCTGAGAGAAAAACAGGTGTGTGTGTGCTGGTACTTGCAGCCTGGAGTCTTGGGTCTCGACCTCCCGGCATTAGTCAGGTAGAGTGCCTTCCTCTCTGACCTCGGCCACCTCGTCGGTGTGGGCCCGGGAAAAAGTTTTCTCCATCTTGTGACTGTTGTTGGCCTGGGCCGTATTGCTGAGGTCTCGGCCCGTATGAGCGGGGTTGGTATGGCAGGCGACTCCTACCACGCCATTGGTTTTTCTTATGAGGACAATTTCTGATCCAGTGATCCAAACCTCCACACAGAAACAGGGTTGAGGTCCAGCAGGATCAGTTTGATCTTGATTTGGCTGGGCAGGCTGTGGTGGGGGTCTCAGTGGTTGAGGTAGATGGGGTCTGGTTGCATTCAATGTCAGCTGTGTAGCAGCCTGAAGCAACGTAAGCTGAGCATCCTCAGTCTGCCTTTGTTTCCTTTTTTGTGTTGTTATTTCGCCCGCGGTGTGTTGATCCCACGCGTGCCTGGCATGCCTCAGGAGTTCATTTAGACGGACGCCAGATTTCCACCCTATATACGTGCTCTGGACAGCTTTGCGGATGAATGGTATGAGTCCACTCATCAGGTATTGGCAGAAAATGGTCTCAAATGGTGTGGCTTGAGCTGCTTCACGCCAGTCATTGAGAGGTGTAGTGATACCAGTGTGTTTTCTGAAAACAGGAAATAATCTGCTGGAGAAATCCTGTGGACTTTCATCTGGTTTCTCCACAGTGTCTGTGATGACTGAGAAACTTGGAGTTTGAGGAAATGCTTCTCCTATCCGCTGCTTGATTTCTTCTTGCTTTCTTTTGTAGAAAGCGTTGTCTAAGTGATCAAAGTTGACATGAGCGAGCCGTTGGCCATCAGCATCATCAAAAAGGTAATTCCCCACTGTGTTAATGAAGGAAATACCGTATACAGAGGCTAGTATCAGCTTGAGTTCTGCCAAAGGGGGTCGGACCACAGAAACCATGTCATTTACAGCGGTAGAAACAGCAGTTTCCCCTTGTGCCAGGTCAGGCAAGTGCTGGCTCGCCATCTCGATCAGGGCCGCCTTGGGCCAGGCTTGGTACACCAGCTGAGGTCCTGTTGCTCCACCAACCTCTAGCATGGGGTTTGTGAGCAGGTCTGCAGGGTTGTCCACTTCATCTGCAGTTTGGGTAAGGTCAGACAATGATGATCCTCCTTTTTGTTGTTGTTTCTTTCGGTCCTGCTGTTTAATGTCATCCAGTTTCTCTTCTTTAAAGGCCTTAATCTTTCCCATTTGTCTTGTGACTACTGTAGTACTGGTTCCAGCAACCGGACCTCTGTTATCAGCTGGGGTCTTCAGCGAGGACACTGGTGAGGTTTCATCACTTTTTTCCTCTGAATCAGATGTTGGGGCCGACGTTCCTTCTCGCAGAGAGAGTTCATCAGTGGGTTTGTTCTCCTCCTCTGAAACGGGACCATAGCCTTGAAAGTCATCTGAATCGAGCGCCCATACTGGGGTGGGTGTTAGATATGATGCAGAGGTGGCAAACAGTTTTTTCTTGTTCTTTTTGTCTTTTCTTGGAACTGATGATGTGTAAGGTGGAGGAGCAGTTAAGCCGGTCAGGGAGGGGTAGAGAGGGGCTGTGGGAGGCGGAGATCCACGGGACTCTGGTGCGTGTGAAGAAAAAGAGGAGAGGGAAACGTTTAGTTTGTCCTTTAATGGTTTGGCTTCTTTTCCTGACTTAGCTTCTGGAGTTTTTTGTGAACTTGTCATGTCTCATTTTTTAGAGCCAATTTGGTTGACCTTTCAATTTTCTGAGCCATCTGAAATGTTTTAGACGCTGTTTTTTTAGCGATTGATTTGGATTGATTTTTCTATAGTTTAAACATCTGTTCATGATTATGCATTGCTGTGAGCATGTCCTGTGGAATCTTTTTCATTTTACACATTTTTTGTTTCTGCTTTAATAAATGTTGTTCTAAAATTTGAATTTCTGCTGGGTCAAAAGAACCATTTCTTGGAAAATTAAATTTGAAATGCCACTGGGAAATGAATCTGAGGCTGCGCATCCTGTCAGCTTCTGGACCGCAAGGAATATAATCATCTGATTTACTATTTCCTGATCCCATTTTTATGACTTTATTCTCAGTCTCCTAAATGAGACTTACCTTGATTTATTAAATATAAATCTACCTCGGTTTTTAATTAAAAACCTACTTGGTCATTATCTTATTTCTCAGCCCCTTATCAGGAACGTACTTTGATTCGTGTTATACAAATCTTCCTCAATTTGCTTTCACAAATTTACCTCAGAAATTATTTATTTTTAATTTCCTACTATTTTCTCGATTTCTCATTGGAAATCTACGTCAATTTGTTATACACAAATCTACCTCGGTTTTGTAATAAAACCTACTTTTATATAAAATTGTTTTTACCTTTGCATGCTCAATAATCCAGGTAGAAAAATCCAAAAAAGTTCAATCTGGTCCTCTGGACATTCAAAAAACAAAAAAACAAAAAACAAAACAAGCAAAAAAATGTAGAAAGTTTCGTCTCTCATCCAAAAGACTTCCTCAGTCTGAGGTGCTGTTTTCAACTCAGTCTCTTAAATAGCACCTTCTCAGAGTGGATCAACCAGTTTGCTGCTGACAACCAAAACCAGCTGATCACATGCTCAAGAAGGACCATCAGCCTAACAATGGATCATTAGCACCTGATGGCTGTTTACTATTCACAGGAGGCTGAGTGATACTAGCAATCACAGCATTGTAAGAGGGGGACAGTTGAACCCAGAGGCTCCACCCCTGTTTAATGATGGACGATTTCTTTTCACAAAGATGGCCTCCTTTACTCCTCTCTCAAACCATCGTTCCTCTCTGTCCAGGATGTGAACATCTTCATCCTTGAAAGAGTGACCGCTGACCTGGAGATGAGTGTAGACCTCAGAGTCCTGGCCTGATGATGTTGATCTTCTGTGCTGGGCCATCCTTTTGGCCAGTGGCTGTTTAGTTTCCCCGATGTAAGACTGATCACAGCCCTCCTGACACTGAACAGCATACACAATATTACTCTGTTTGTGCCGGGGGTCTGGATCTTTGGGATGAACCAGTTTTTGCCGTAATGTATTTTGGGGTTTAAAAGCCACTGGGACGTGACGTTATGTTTAGAAAATAAACGTCTCAGTTTCTCTGATACTCCCTCAACATACGGAATGACCTCTGGTCTGGGTCTAGGTTCCTCCTTTTCACCTGATGGCTGACTGGAGTCCTGTTTGGGTTTCTTCTCTGCTTTCAGGAAGGCCCAGTTAGGATATCCACATTGCTCTAGAGCCTGTTTTGTGTAGGATTTCTCCTTCTGCCTGACTCCCGAGTTAGTGGGGATGCTGTCTGCTCTGTGATACAGAGTCCTGATGACTCCTAACTTGTGCTCCAAAGGGTGATGGGAGTCAAATTGCAAATACTGGTCTGTGTGGGTGGGTTTGCGGTACACCTCGGTTAGCAAATGTCCTCTATCAGAGACTGAGACCTCACAGTCCAAGAAAGCCAACCTGCCATTTTTTACATCTTCTCGTATGAACTTAATGTATTTATCCACAGAGTTGATGTGGTCAGTAAAATGTTGGACTTCCTGAGATTTGATTTTAACCCAGGTGTCGTCAACATACCTGAACCAATGACTTGGTGGTGTACCTGAAAAGGACGTCAAGGCTCTCTTTTCTACCTCCTCCATGTACAGGTTGGCAACAATAGGATAAACTGGAGACCCCATAGCACACCCATGTTTCTGCCTATAATATTGC